GTGTTCTGTTCATTTTAGCTTGTGTTCTGTCCTTTTTTAGCTAATGTTCTGTTCTTTTTAGCTTGTGTTCTGTACATTTTAGCTTGTGTTGTGTACATTTTAGCTTGTGTTCTGTTCATTTTAGCTTGTATTCTGATCATTTCAGCTTGTGATCTGTACATTTTAGCTTGTATTCTGATCATTTTAGCTTGTGTTCTGTACATTTTAGCTTGCATTCTGATTTTAGCTTGTGTTCTGTTCATTTTAGCTTGTGTTCTGTACATTTTAGCTTGTGTTCTGTACATTTTAGCTTGTGTTCTGTACATTTTAGCTTGTATTCTGATCATTTTAGCTTGTGTTCTGCTCATTTTTGCTTGTGTTCTGTCCTTTTTAGCTTATGTTCTGTTCATTTTAGCTTGTGTTCTGTACATTTTAGCTTGTATTCTGATCATTTTAGCTTGTGTTCTGCTCATTTTTGCTTATGTTCTGTTCATTTTAGCTTGTATTCTGATCATTTTAGCTTGTATTCTGATCATTTTAGCTTGTGTTATGTTCATTTTAGCTTGTGTTCTTTTAAATTAAGAATGTTTTATTTATTTTAGCTTCTGTTCCATTCATTTTAGCTTGTGATCTGTACATTTTAGCTTGTATTCTGATCATTTTAGCTTGTATTCTGTTTAATTTAGAATGTTTTGTTTATTTTAGCTTCTGCTCATCATGTGTTGTTATAAAGCAGTCTCTCAGATGTGATTCTGCTGCAGGAAGCTGCTGCTTTGATTATTATGTTTTGTTCATTTTAGCTTGTGATCTGTACATTTTAGCTTGTATTCTGTTCATTTTAGCTTGTGTTCTGATCATTTTAGCTTGTGTTCTGTTCATTTTAGCTTGTATTCTGATCATTTTAGCTTGTATTCTGATCATTTTAGCTTGTGTTCTGTTCTTTTTAGCTTGTGTTCTTTACATTTTAGCTTGTGTTCTGTTTAATTTAGAATGTTTTGTTTATTTTAGCTTCTGCTCATCATGTCAAGTCTCTCAGATATGTTTCTGCTGCAGGAAGCTGCTGCTTTGATTATTATGTTTTGTTCTGCTGAGAAAAAAAAACGTCACTTCGGGGTGAATAAAAGGTTTATCAACAGAATTATAAAACCATTTAACCAAGCGGCCATTTTTGATACTTAGCGCCTTTTTTCATCTTATTTAGCTCTGTTGTTACATTTGAATAGATGCTCAGTCCCAACAGGTGACAATGCAGGGCAGCAATAAAAACATTTCTGTTTAAAGTTTTTTTGATTTTCATTTTCATATAAACGCGAATGACTCACCGAGTAAACGTCGTATTCTTATTTCTTTTATTTTTTTTCACGTTTTTCAGCACCGTCCTGTCGCTGCTGCCGTCCTCCTCCTCCTCCTCCTCTCCTCTTCGAGGTGAAATAAAAACAAGATGGCGTCTTCTGCTCCTGCGGTCTTCAGTCTGCGGAGCGGTGCTGATGAGAGGACAGAGAGGGAGGGATGCTGAGCTGCTCCTCACCTGAGGATCAACACCTGAGTATGTCACATCCGTTTAATCAAGCAGTTATATAAGGAAGCACCTTAATAAACTAGACTTACACTGAAGTTAAAGATGAATAAATAGGATTTATGTTTTAGTGAAAGATTTATAAAACTGTAAATTAACCCCGAGATTTTTAAATTAATAATATCTAAAATAAAATCTTTATAGAAATACATTTATGTAATGCTTGCAACATTTTGCTTCATAATGCTGCTTTTAACATTTAGCTACATCTTTGCTTCCTTTAGCATTTAGCTATTAATTAGCAGTTTTGCTAATTTAAGTATTGTTTGTGTCCTGCTGCTTTTAGTTATTAGCATTCTTGGTTTTAGCCTCTGTTGTGTTGCTTTTAGCATATGTTAGCGTGTTCCTTCATTTTAGCTTGTGTTGTTTAGCAAGTGTTGTTCCTTTAGCTTGTGTTCCATTTATTTTAGCATTTGATGTTACTTTTAGCTTGTGTTGTGTTTATTTTAGCATTTGATGTTACTTTTAGCTTGTGTTCCATTTATTTTAGCATTTGATGTTACTTTTAGCTTGTGTTGTGTTTATTTTAGCATTTGCTGTTACTTTTAGCTTGTGTTGTGTTTATTTTAGCATTCGATGTTACTTTTAGCTTGTGTTGTGTTTATTTTAGCTTCTGTTCTGAACATCTTAGCGCATTTGATTAATTTTAGCTCTTGTTCTGTTCATTGTAGCTGTTGTTTTGTCAATTTTAGCATGTCTTGTTCGTTTTAGCTTTCGATCTGTTCATTTTAGCTTGTGTTCTGAACATCTTAGCGCGTTTGATTAATTTTAGCTCATGTTATTGTAGCTTTTGTTTTGTTAAGTTTAGCTTGTGTTCTGAGCATCTGCTCATGTTATTGTAGCTTTTATTTAGTTAAGTTTAGCTTGTGTTCTTAGCATCTTAGTGCGTTTGATTCATTTTAGCTCATGTTCTGTTCATTGTAGCTTTTGTTTTGTTGATTTTAGCATGTCTTGTTAATTCTAGCTTTTGATCTGATCATTTTAGCTTATGTTCTGAACATCTTAGCGCGTTTGATTAATTTTAGCTCATGTTATTGTAGCTTTTATTTTGTTAGGTTTAGCTTGTGTTCTGAGCATCTTAGCACGTTTGATTAATTTTAGCTCATGTAATTGTAGCTTTTGTTTTCTTAAGTTTAGCTTGTGTTCTGAGCATCTTGGTGCGTTTGATTCCTTTTAGGTCATGTTCTGTTCATTTTAGCTTTTGTTAATTTTAGCAAGTTTTGTTTATTTTAGCTTGTGTTCTGTTTGTCTTAGCATGTGTTTGATTCATTTCAGCGTAGTCGAT